TTGATTCTATTTCGTCCTCATGCAAGATGAAAATGCGCTTTAGCACGGCTAACAATTTATGAGCCAATCCAATCGGAACAGTAGTAGCTGGTCCAGGCGGAGAGAAAAAAGAACAGAACACCGCACAAGCATTCCAACACACCTGGATAATGATTTAAAGCAAGTCGTAACAGGAGAGCAATGAAAAAACAACACCAGCAGCAACACAACGAAATTGAAAAAGATGCGCTACGATTCAAAATCTAAATCGCATACTGTCTTCACCGTGTGATTTGCCGTTGATGCGTGCCATCAACTGCCTGTTTTATTTTACCATTGCGCGATATAAACCATTCGATTTTGCTACTCACATTGTCCACATATCGAACCAATTTATTTGAGAGAATGCATGGAAAAGTTCGATTGATTTCGTAAAATCGAATGATGGACACCATGTCGTGCATGTATCGAAACATTTACAAATGCGATTACATGCTCTACGTTAGTTTATTTCTATCGACGTTTTTTCGTTGCTACTTAAAAGGTTCATTTAACATTCGACGTCCAATCCGAATATTGATAAGTGCATTTGGCGCCAGGGCACTATTGCCGAAACTATTGGCTCGCTTCTCTCTACAACATTTCCCTATTTATTCTTGTATTCTCTGTTTGCTCTTCGGAAATGTTTGCTCCTGCAAAAGAAACAATTTCACCATATCTTGACACACTAACAAAGTGTGCTTTGGTCGAGCCCCTGACATTACATTTCTAGACAGATGTAACTAGCATTTGTTAACCAGAGCTGCTGGCAATGTGAAAGGCTCGACAACAGGACAAATGACAGCCTCCATTCCATATACCATAGTGCACAATTATTTTTTGACTATTTTTAATTGGCTTTTCGCATTCTTCTGCAGTATTGTTTGCTATGCAGTGAACTGAGTTGCATCGCAAATTGCATTCAGTCAATTGAGACTCAGTTTTTTTTTTGTTTACTGAAAATGTGTTTTTTTCTGTTAAAAACCCCATTTGGTGGTAGCTAAAGTTTGTCTGATGCAAAATTTATTTTAAAAAAGTTCATTTTGCATTGCATTTCAATTACATTAACCCCCTCGAGACACACAGGAACAACTCTGCGAGAAAAAAAAACAAACAGAGTTATAGCACGTGCCGAACCAACGTTCGTGAAAAAGGAACCGAAAAAATATGCAGAATGTATGCAAAGCATGCCTGAACTTTCTTTTAAAGTTCGTGAAAAAGGCAATTGACGATGAGAGGCAAAGAAACCACTTTTTCTTGGTGTTTTTTGGTATCTGTTGCTTACTCGTTCGACAGCCCAAATAATATGTAAATATCAAAAGTGGTATTTGCATGCGAAAATGTCTCGTGTGCCTCATGTTGATCGTGCTGAACTTTTTGGTCAAATGTTCACATCATTTAACATTGTGAACACAAAGTGCACTACTGAAGAGAATGGTCAAATGCCAAATACACCATTTTAAAATGTGATCCACTTTGTCACCATTGCATACACACATACACACACAGTAACACAGACACATTCCACTGCACTCCACTCCATTCCATTCGTCGGGTCCGGCCGAAATGTACATCGGCCGTCACATAGTTGAAATAATCTGAAAACATTCCAGACATACGGCGAAATTCTTGGGATACTGAATGCGAACATTTAACGCGTGCATTTCATGTGGTGGCTGTGCGATTCTCTGCGCACAAAAATTGTATCGCTTTAATAAAATCAACAAAAACAAAATTGTTTACATTTTAGTGATCATTAAATCGAACATTTTCATCGGTAACACACGAATATCATGTGCGATCGGGGCCATTGTATGCGTTTGGCAACGAGTGGAAATGCATGTGAGCTCGCTCGAGAACTATACAGAGATAATAAACAAAAGATAAAATGAGCAAATATGTTAAATATTGCGTTGTGCACCGTGCACACATCGGTAAACGTGAACTTTTGCACATTAGCCACACAGAAATGCTGACAAACAGTCAACACATATCTCGTCTCGTTTTGTTTCGTTTCGTTTCGTTTTTTCCATCCAATTTTGATTTTCGTTCCAATGTGGACAAATATCGAAAGAGAAACGTGAAAATGATATCAATTAAGAATCATACGGGCGATACAACATTAAATGCGAACCAATGATCCATGTCATATTTGTGGACGCATACAAAAGAGCGAATGATTGGAAGATCGTTTCACCCGTTTCGCCAATGATTTAATTCTAATGAATATTTTATTGACAGCAACGCACAAATTTATCTTCCGAGATTCAAATAACCGAGAGACAAATACACAAAGAAAGAGAGTACTTTACATCGGGCTCTGACAGCTCTTTGAATACAACTGTATTTTATAATCTGTTCACGTGTAATGTTAATGCGCGGAGGCGCCCACCATTCAAACCACATGCTCAATTTATTTTAATCAATTAATAAAAGAAGAAAAAAAAAATAAATAAATCGTTGATTGAAGAAAAATACAAAATTGCCGCCATATAACCCATCACAAAGAAGCAATATCATCAACATATGGCTGACGTGATACGTCGATTCGAATCATTTTTATTTTTGTTTACCTACATCTAGTCAATAGCCGTGTAAATGAACGAACAAACGAAATATATTTATATTAATATTAGTTAAATCGCTCGAGAAGAAAAAAAAACGGAAATCTCGTACCAAACGAAATGGAATGAAGAGAAGAGAAGAAAAAAAAGCACTGAATGTTTTTAATAGCAAACACGCAAAACCTACCTGCTGATTATTGGTACTGCTGTTTACTGTGTGAGTGTGTGTGTGCGCCTCTGCCTACATCATTTTAGTAACTAAAAACGACGAGCGCCTTTAATTTTCAACCAATTTCTACATTAAAAGAGAAAAAAAAAGCGAGTAAAACGTTAAATAGCCGCAACAATGAAAATGATCGAAAAGCGCAAGCAACAAAACCCAAAAGGACAGAAGCATAGCGAATGCGGAATGAGCGAAATGAAACGGTTTCAATTTTCGACCAAGAACACAAGCGCAACCAACAGAAAAAATACAGAACAAAAAAAAAACACAACGTCGACGGTTAAATACCGAACACACATACAATGATGTGCTGAAAAAAGTTAATAACAAAACATATATAACGCTCAACAATGGTTTGGAATACAATTGACTACTAGGCCTTATTATATTGACTTTGCCGTTTGGCGGCCGTTTTGTAGCATAACTATATTCCCACGCACCATATTAAGCCGACACAAGATCAAACCTCATATACTATACCATATATTTATTATTGGGCGCATCACAAAACCGCCTCACATTATTTCCACCACAAATGCAGACGACAAGATGTGTGACTGTGTGTATATAAATTTCGTTCGGTTTGTCGATGTGTGTGTCTTTCTGTGTCTCCTCGAATTTCGGATACCGTACACCACCTTAATCATAAAACATTGATCGGCATTCAGATTAACTATGGATCAAGTTCATTGTGTTCAATTCAACATTCATTCAGTTACATACATCGAAAATGGCATTAATTAGTTCCTTGGTGGAACATTCGAACAAACGTTTTGTTTTTGTTTTGATAAATGGTATGGATTTTCTATAATCATGGAGATATTAATCAAAATGTGTCGACAAGAAAATTGAAATAAAATTCAAACATTTCTCTCTCTCTCTCCCTTTACATGCATGAGATTCTTGTCATGCAGATTCAAACCACATACGTGAGAAATTGTTCCATTGCGATTTTATCACCACAACGAATCAATTACGTGAGATGTCAATTTCATTCCGGTCAATATGCCGCTTCATTTCGATCATTTTGTATTTGAGATTGGTTCGAGCCCAGTTTCATTTCTCTTCAATGTGATGAAATGGATTTTGAGTGCGGGTTATTTGTCCAGATGGTCGAATCGGTCGATTTGATTGTTGCGCACAATATTTGCAGGCGCACACAAGTATCTCTTTCTCTATCTCTATCTCACTCTAACTCGCTCGCTCTGCGATATATACGGAGTAATACGTGAAACATCAAATAGACATACCATCCATAACTTATATTTTGGGTTAAATGTGTAGTCGTTTTTCGGTTTGTGTCATCATTGTAGGCGTCCGAAAAAAAGAGAGCCGAAATGCACGCATTATGAACATGAAAGCCGAAATATTGAGCCACCCAAAAGCTTTCACCAAACAAACGAACAAACCGAAATCAACCACACAAAAACCGATCGATTTCAAATAGTTTCTAATGGCATGTACTGCGGTCCAGCACACACACACACACACACACACACACCACATCGCATCGCATCGCATCACATAACTTCCAATCGAATAAACGGCAATGTGCTGCTCTTAGTTCCTCCATTCATTCGGAAATGTTTCGGCTTATTTCACAATCGAAAACTTCCATCCTGCTTCCAAATACTCGCAAAATGAACAAAAACAAAATGTACCGTTCGTATCGATGCGAAAATGCAAATGATTAATTGGCGGCGCGCAATTTAAAATGCAGTCAATATTTCAACATCTAATTAAGTCAAAACTTGTGCAAAAAGAAGCAAAAAAAGCAAGTAAACTGGATTGAAAAATGTTCAAATGCCACGAAAACTTTGCATACGATTACTGAAGCTGAAATATTACAACGTAGAGAGGGGGGAAAAAAGCGCGCGCTCACTTTATAATCTTTGTGGGTGGATGGAAGTGTTTTTTGCAAATAAAATCACAATGAAATTTGCATAGACACGATAAAATCTTGCGCGCACTGCTTCAGTTGAAAGCTCTACGCATTGCACGGCAACGCCGAAAAGGCGGAAACAAAATCATTTCATCGCAAATTTAATGCCACTGTCCTTGAACAATGTCAATGTTTAGAATGTTTGCAAGTGTCTTTTGATTTGTTGTTGTTTTTTTTTCTCTCTTGACCTTTTGTTGTTTAAATGATTTGAATAACATGGTATCGTTTTTTTTCTTCTCTCGTTCTCCTCCAGGCATACGAATTGTCCACGCTGACCGGTACACAGGTTATGTTATTGGTTGCATCAGAAACTGGGCACGTGTATACGTTTGCAACGCGTAAATTACAGCCGATGATCACATCTGAAGCGGGCAAACAATTGATACAGACCTGCTTGAATTCACCGGATCCGCCGAGCGGTGCATTAACCGGTGATCAGCGCATGTCAGCGACTGGATTTGAAGAGACCGAACTCAGCTACAATATCGGCGACGACGATTCAAAAGTAAGACAATTAATTTATAGTCATGGTCATCATCATGGACATGCTCATTTGGGTCACCCACAGCCAACGCACTACGGCATCGATCAAAGTCTAATGCAACCAAATTACGCAACCGGTGGTCAAGCATCACCATTATCCCATACACAAAGCTATGTGCCACCACATGCTGGTCACACACATCACGTACCGCATCCACATCCACATTCCGCATTTAAAAATTGAATACACACAAAATGCTCTGCACTGATGCGCTGCTTCGTTCCATCATAAATCCTTTGACTTTCCCTTCGTTTTGCAATTGACTTTGATTCACTTTGTTTGTGTGTGTATGTTTCTCTTTCGCTCTCTGCTCCGTTCAGCGCAACAAAAAAAAACCATCCATAGATTTATCATTATGCTTTCATATCTTCCTCTTTCTCTCAATATCGCTGTCGCGGACACACACAACTCATCGCAATTCTTCCTTTTTCCATCTCTTTCTCCACAATCCGTATAGTTTTTTGTTTCCTTCTTCGTTTCGATATATTTATTCAATTTTAATTATGTTATTTGTGCTCATGCTGAAAGCCTGACATTTACAGCATGTGGCATTAACCGAAGAAATGCGTAGAGAACAAACAGTACGGAATATCCCAGAAAAACAAAAACAACTCTCTGAATCCGAACGACAAACGACTTAAACCAAAATAATGTGTAATGCGTGTGGCGATTCCAAAATGAGACTATGTCCATTATGTGTTTGTGTAGCTCGCTCTTTAAAGTTTAAAAAACAGAAAAAGCAAAAAAGAAATAAAGCAAAAGATGAAAAAAAAAACACACACACACTACAATTACGAATGGAACATCGATGAATCTCTCAAGAAATTGTAATCGTTTTGCAAGATTTTACGGGTCGCGTGATTTACTGACTTCAATATTATTTCTTTTTATTACTTACTTTAAATTCCTTAAATTAGATATTTAACGCTAAACGAAAGCAAACAGTCGAATGACAAATACGCGTGTAAATATTATATTGAATGAAATCGGTACTCAGCACTGGTTGTAGTATGTGCTCCGTAGCAAATGCAATAAGAAGATGAAGAAAACAAACGAATATGGGTTTCTTCGACGAAGAAAATAAAAACAATTATCATTTGTTGAGTGATTGCAATCTGTTCCAAAATACATTTTATGGCTTTTGTGTGCTTAGATGGTTTAGAGAAGAAAAAAATATAAACGAAAAATATATGTCAAACATTATAATTAGAAGCGAATTTGTTCACCCCCCCACTTTTTTATGATTTAAACATTTTTGTTTTCGCAAATACGTTTTGTGCTTTTGTAGAACTAAACTTTTTTTTTATTATTTTGTTCTAAATTTGATGCAAAAATTTCAATCAAAATTTACAGTATGTTTATTTTTCTGTTCTATTATGGTTTATTTATTTATTTATTATTTGTCCCAAGCTGAAGGAAACCCTTTTTTTTTTCATATAATCTTTTTTGAAAGAAAAAGCTTAGAAATTTGCATAATTTAATCGATGACCCTTAGATGTAATTGCGAGTAAATGTATTTGTTGCTTGTTATGTTGTTGCTTTTGTATGGATGAGCAATATTGAGAAAAATGCATTTGCGTCTGACAATCGCTAAAAGAAGATGGCCCGTTAAACGGAGCATTATATTGTTTTATGTTATTTTTTTTTATTATTATATTTTCATTAATTGTTCGCTACGAAAAAGACAGCTGTCTTTTGCAACACTAATTTAAAACATTTACAACAGAAAAAAAGGTTAATAAACAACAACAACAACAAGAAAAAACGATACAAAAATTTAATAACAACGATAAACAATATGAAAATTATTTATTAGATCAATATGAGATAGAATGTAAGGACTAAATGAACGCGCAACGAAATTACATGTAATTGAAATGCCCAAGTGCCAGTGAATCGTCATCATCATCATCATCATCATCATCATCATCATCATCATCATCATTGCGAACGTGACACGCGTCCGTTACTGTGTCGCTAAGAAGAAGAAGAAGCAACGACGAAGATATCGCCGAATATCACATATCATTTCGGATATTGAATGTCCTACCCACAAATATCGAAAAAATGCAAATGGGTTCATCAACGTAACAAAAAATGATGATGACAAAAACAACGTCGAAACAAATTCGATCGACATTTAGAAACGTAAAGAAACGAGTAATCAAATCAATCACGGAGTAACGATTAACGTTTCTATGAGAGTCAAAATCCAAAGTTTGTGAGTTGATAAACTTCATCGAACGTTTTCTCGTGAGTGTGCATGTGTGTGTGTGTCATGACAATGCATTGCATGAGCATGATATTACTCTCACTCTAATGTTAAAATTTAAGAAACAAATTTCGTTTTAAATTACTTTTTTTTAAAGTAAATTCAATGAAGCAATTAATACAAAAAAAAACTCTTAATCAATTTTATATACAATTAATTTGAAAGCAATACATACTTTTTAAACAAACAAAAAAAAACAACATATACTCAACCTTCTTAATTTTTTTTTCTTATACTTTTTGCTTTTGTTTTAGTTGTTTATTAAAAACAAAACAGCGATTGATCGCAAATCAATTTAAGCAAGTGCATATTTGATACTGGGAACCAAATGCATTCAATTAGACACACTAGATTTTAGGCAAGAGAAAAATGACAAACAAATCAATCAAAGCAACAAAAATACCCAATCCTGAACACTGAATATACATTATACACACATAAAAATAGATAGAGAGAAAATGAGAAAACATCCAATTGAAATGTTTAAGCAAATTTTTTGTTTTTTTTTCTCCTTTTCTTTATCCATTGTGATCAACAGTACATGTAGAGTTCACACATTCAGCATATATATATATATATTGTTAGCGATTTATATATTGAATAGCATTAGGTATTTATCCGCAAATCATCGAATCATTTAAGTATGTAACAAACCAAACAACAACGGAAAATAATATGAGAAAGAACAAAAAACCAAAACATTGTGTGTGAATCGATTCCATAGCATTTCATTGACAAAGACATGTGCTTTTATTACTTATTTCTTCCATTTTTACGAGAGAAGGAAAAAAACACATATTTCATCTTCTTCTTTTTTTCCAGTGAATTGCTGCTACAAACCTCTATTTTATTGCCTCAAATTCAAGTCTTTCTTTTGAGTTTAGATCTTTTTGTACACACTTTGCTATTGAAATGCTTTTTGTTTTACCATTGATGAAATGCATTGTGTGTACGTTCAGAAAGCTCTCGGCTCTCGATTACAACTCTCGGTGGCTCAATTGGTAATTGTCACTATATAATGTACCATTGTTGTTGTGATGTGTCGCTGTTATTTGCTCCGTAGCTTTTGCATTTTACTCGGCACACGGTGCAGATAAATTAGCATGTGCGTGCCAATTAGAGTGGGTGTTTTCATAGAGCGAGCATTTTTCATGAGTTTACTCGACGTTTTGTTACTACTGCTGCCGCTGCTGCTGATGTTGCTGCCATCGTCGCCACCTTTTTGTTCATTCATCGCGATTCGCGCACGTGAACAATCCAATTCCATTCAATGAAAAGAAAAACACGCAAAATTGAAAAATCGTAACGGTGGAGATCAAAAGATTAACATTTCGAACACCAAAATTGTTATAGTTTAAATGTTTTGTTGTTGTTGAGTTTTTTCTTCTTCAAATTTCCGATTCCATAGTTTTTGCTCATGCTAAGCAACAAAGTCAATTTGTTTAATGTGCGGTCCAACCACCTGAATTTAAAACATACAGCGCCCAATACATAGCAACGTTTTGCTCGCTGTTTCTTTAATTAATAAAAGCAAAGAAGAAGAAAAAGAAGAAAAAAAAATTATACAACGGCCACAAAGAGGCGTGGGCTGATTGACTCATCTTTTCGATCGCGTCCCCATTTATCTCATTCACAAGCTTGCTCGGCCAGAGCATGTGTCCATGTTGCGTGAGAGTCTCAATGAACTCTCTCCGATGGCTCAGGCAAAAAAAAAGAATTATTCCTTTGGTCACTGTTACCTGCTTTGACGAATACTCTCTACAACGAATCAAGTGATCGAGCGACAAAACTGTTTGCTAATTTACTCATTTCTACTGATAATACCTGTTGCAAACCGTGTTCCATCAATTAAAATTAGTTCACACAAAGTCTGATTTTTCCATTTGTGTCTAGAAAGGAGATACGCCGTGTGTGTGCGTGTGTGGTTATGATGTTCGGTGGGAAAGAATTGCAAAATACCACAATTTCAAATAACAACACCAACAATAGCAAAATAAAAACTCCCGCAGACAAGAACAAAAGCTCGTCACACCTTTGAGTCTATCAAATGATACTAAATGAATTGAGTGGCAGAGGGAGAGGAACAGACAGAGAGAGAGAGAGAGAGAGAGAGAGAGAGAAGATGGTGCAACCGGTAGATAAAACAACGATCAAGTAACAGAGAATCTCAATAACCGTACAATGAATGCGCGAAACAAAGAAATGGAATTGATTCGGGGAATGGAGAAAGAAAAAAAAGCGTCTTCATTCGTTCGTTCGTTCGTTCGTTTGCTGGTTTATAACATGGATTATACTCATCAATGAAGTAGCTCATACCGGCAAGCAGCTTCGTTTCGATTTGTATGTTCGACAATAATAATAATTAGCAAGAATGACGCCCAACATGGTAGTCATTTAGCGATTTGTGTTGAATTCGTAATTAGACGGTGTTGTGATCGATGATTATTCGATTATATTCCTATCAAAGACACCAATACCATTCAGCTGAATTCAACGTCTTTCCCTCTCTCTCTCTCTCCTATCTATACCTCTAAATAACAACCGTTGTTCCGATTGCACAACAGCCCATAGCGCTCGGACACGGAACTTTGATGGATTCGACAGAAAACCTAAATAACAAATGTAGAATGAAGAACGGATGCCACACAGCGGCAACGGCAGCGATAGCAGCAGCAGCAGCAGCAAAATCATCATGCCACTTACCTCAATGAATGAACTCACACAACTCGCAGACACTGTTTATCTAATTCATTGATAAACTGCTTTTCTCTTCTATTCAGAATCAATCAAAGTAAATCAATGCATTGAGCAAAAGCCCAAAAATGGCACTCATAACTGAACACCTCCGTTGTTGTTTGTTTGTTTTTTTCCCTCTTTCTTTGTTCATTTCTTTCTTTCTCTATGCTGTAATTGATGCTTTACATTTCAATTCGATGGAAATTCAATTCATAGTGATGTGGTGGTTTTTTTTATTTGATTGATAAAACGCATGTTGAAATTAGTGTTATAATCCAAGACTTACTTTTTTCAGTGTACGCTTCTAGTCAATGACTTTTTTTTCCAGTAGAAGAATAAGACATACACACACACACGCAACAACGAATACAAGCATTTATTTTGAGTTATTTTTTTGTTCGTTTTATTACTTAACTTTCGTCTAACTTTTGTTGTTTATTCCAAATGAATTAAGCTTAATTTATTATTTATGTGCTAGTTTTTACGCCTAGATTAAGCCATGACAAAATAAAACCAAGAAAAAAATTATCATACTTACAATTAGGAAGTTTAGGAAATGAAACGACATTTTTATTCAACACATGTAATTTTATTTTTTTTCTTCTTTATTTTGGTTAAGAAAATTTGATTTTTGCATGATTTTAAATATGTTAACATTTGATGTGGTGTTCGCTTGTACACAACCTGAAATTTCGAATTTATTGCTTTCTTCTCTCGGATGAATTGATGTGATTTGTGAGGTTTTAATGTATTCTTTCCCGTTGAATTCGAAATCAAATGAGATCTTTTGGAAGTTGATTCCATATGATTTTTCTTCTATTCTTTTTTTCGGTTCTTTTCTCAAATGATTTTCTTCTTCTTCGATAGATTAAAGTACGATAATGATGTCATACGGATGCTTCAGTTGGAACTTTATTCGAGTTCCGTAAAGAAGCTCGTTTAACATCATTTCCGTCCTTTCGTTAAGCCACCCCAAACGTAAAAGTCTAATTTCATTGGAATATACTTACCCAAAATGAAAAATGTATAGGATTCTGTCAATTCCCAAAGCTGTTGCCGAATACCCTGTAGTGCATAGACATGCGGGGGAGAAAAAACGCCGAAAAGGAAGAGAGTTTCATCATTAATTCAGACGAAAGATCTGCTCTGATTCATTCTCATGAATTTTACTTGACATCTCCTGTTATTTCCATGTAATATTAAAAAATGATGCGAACGTTCTTCTACAAAACAATATCTTTCGCTTCAGTGTTGAAATACTACGACGTAAAAACGTCACGTACTGTGGGAGGAAAATTGTGTGTTCGTTCCATTGCCGCAAACTTAAGGCACACGAAATTACCGAAGAGACTGGAATCATCCATTGAATGGGATTTGATCCATTTGTTTGCTCATCAATTTAGTCATTTCATAATGAAAATATGCTCGCTTTAACCAAATCTGGTGAACTTTTTGCTCAGTGACAAAGTGTGTGCCACACACACACACACTTGAACCCTAAACAAATGAATAAATCAACCGAAGCGTTCGTGGTTTGGTTCCAAATCAATGGTAATTTCAAACAAAAATGCTCCATATCTTTGTTTTGTGAATGTACGACTTAATCGATTTGATAAATTACGAATGAAGAATTGGTGAAAAGGAGCAAAATAAAGCACAGAAGAAGAAGAAGAAAAAATGCCAACATCTGAAAATATCAAAGTCGATCACAGTCACTCTCTCGCATTCCTTTAAATTGCTGCTGGACGCGCGCGTCGTATTCAAAAATCCAAACGAGAGAAGTTTTTTTCTGGTTGCAAGAAAAACAAACATTTTCAGCACGGAATCGCTGACAAAAAAGTGTACAATGCACATTTTTGCGTAACTTCGTCGAAGTAGAAGAGAGAGAGAGAGAGTGAGAGAGAGAGAGAGAGAGAGAGAGAGAGAGAGAGCGAGCGAAGGAGAGCATTTGTACAACACACGGGAGATACTGAATTACAATCCAACGCGATGTGTCGTCAAAAGATCAAGAAATTAAGAACATTGTTAAACCGTACGATTGCTTTTATTTGAAAAATGGCTTGCGGCTTGCGAAAGGTCGACAAATCGCATAATAAATAAAATGTATTTTAAATGCAACGAGAACCTTTTCTTCCCTCTCTCTCGCTCTCTCGCTCCCGTATTCTTCAATAAATCAGGAATTGTTTCAGCGTGTGCGTGTGTGTCCGATGATTTCTTATACCGTACGGTATTCTGAAATCGGTAGATTTTTCGCATTGAATGCACACATAAAATGAGTTAAAAAGTCGTCGAATGACGAATATGTGGAAGTCAATACACCAACCAGTTGAATTTGTCGTTGTAGCCCGTCATTTTTGGCAGCTATTCAACTGTACGGCTCCAAGACATTCTCTCTCTCTCCTATGGATTCGTTCATCGTTTTTCTATGGACTTTCACAAAACAACAATAACAAAAAATAGTTTTCTTGTGATAAAACTATCTCCATAGAAGTTGTTATTTGAAAAAATAATGAATTTTAAATCAAGCGCTTGACATGGAACCGTTTGCGATTGCCACGTAATTTTCGATTCCATATGGTCCTTCGATTGGAACGTGCCTACGACATTTTGAGCTGTGAGTTTGTATCAAAAAAGGATTGAATTCACGGTGATGCTTCGTGCACGTATTTTCCCAAAGCAAACCCAAAACGAAACGCGCCCGCTCGTGTAACCAACGAAAATATTTTCATTTGATTTTGGAATCGATTCAATCCTTTTGCAGAACCATATCAAAATATCGATAATTTTTCATTCTCCTCTTCGCGCTTGCTGTCGCGGAACAAGAAACGTGATACTATTCGCAAGACGTATTTCTGTTTGTTGTTTTCTGTTTTTTTTTCGCGTGCATTTTCAGCATTTATGAAATTAATTTAGAAAGTAACTGAAACCACGAAATGAACTCTTGAAAATAACATTGCAACGGAAATTGGAGTAGGCGCACCATTTTTGGACTTTAACGATCGACTTGAATTTTTTTTTTTCATTCGCTCCACGTAATTAAAATACTTCTGCATTCACGTGCTGCATGTCTGTTGTGTGCAATATGGCTTCTCTTCCTGAATAATTACCGTGTGATTAACGACCTGAAATTGCCACTGATCTCATTCTTTCGAAAGCAGAGTGACAATAACGACGAGACAATAATAGCAACAACAACCAATTCAGACAAATTACATCAATATTGATAAATTTTGACAAGAAAATTGCCTTTTACGATTTGACTTCATTTGAAATATCGATTATTATTTTTTCGCGAACGCATTTCGATTTGCACACAATAGTGCATTTGAAAGCGGAGTTTATTTGTTGATTTAATGAAGTGTTTTGTTTTTGTTTTTGTGACAAAAAAGCCAAAATTCCATCAGTTTATTATAAATTTTCGAATTACATAATCACTGCTTATTAAGAAAAAATGATACATTGAATGGAAGTGCTGTTTCAAATCTACGTCTCTAATACTTACTTATAATCATGATGTGCATCTCGGCAAATCGTTTTCTACTATCTGAAAAGAGAGAAAGAGAGACGTATTCATGTTGGTTTCAATTATTTGACTATATCTTTTGGTTAGAATGACTTATTCAATTTTTCTTTCAGTTCGAAAAGTTCAAATAAACTCAAAAAGACATTTGAGTAAATTTTCATTAATTTTTCATGCAATTTTTTCTACTTTCTATTTCATTTTCCGATTTTTCCGACCGTTGTATTTGTGGTATTTTTCATACCAAATGAGTAACAGCATGTTCAGGAGAGTCAAAAGCAATCGTTTAAACACTATCCATTGAGGAAAGAAAAGAAAAAACTGTAACTCAATTGGTGTTTGAAACAGCATGTGTGCTGTTAATAAGAATGCAAAAGAATAAAAAAAAAATAGCGTAACATTGGCACTGATTCAGACGGAGCGATACAATATTTGAGCGCAAATGTTCGCGCGATATCGTGTTTCAATCGATAAATACATTGAAATATGAATCATTTTAATCGAAACTTTGGCTCAAAAATTATTTGAAAAACCATTGATTGTCAGAAAAATATTCAATCAGTTGAAAAATGCTCTTGTTCAGATCGATTCCGATGACCTTATCATGTCAAGTCGGTGTGGTTGTCATGTTTTTCATTGGGCCATGCGCCACAGTGGTTTTAATTGTTCCATAAACAGCCAACAGAAACAACAAATGACTTCAACCAAATGTGTAGTGCCAAATAAATGAGCTCAATAAAGAAAAAACAAACACCCAATATCAATGTGTACAATCAACATCTCTCGTCAGATCAGGCTTATTGGGACGCATGTGTACAACATTCGCTTTTCAACACAGTCGCTTACAAATCAACAGATCGTGTGAATCGATGCTCTTTTCAGCGGTTTTCTATCTTTTGTTCAATATGTAACCACCACGATAGACGAGACCGAGAGAAACAAGAGAATCGGAATAAACAACCGAATCAACGATATTTGGAAGCAGCATAAACAAAATATTCAGATATGAAGTAATGAAAAGTGATCGCGCGCAGTGGCTATGAAGGAGTTAACCCTTTATCACATATCGGTTCCTAAAGTAACCAGATACGCCAGACGCTATAGCTATGAAATCACTGAATATTTTTGCATTCGTGTTTGGAAACAAATGTAGGGAATTGAACTAGCTTTCATTTGATACTTTACAGGCTACAATTGGTTGGCTGAATGGAAAGTTTTTTCTGTTCATATACTGCTGCAAAAAAAAATGCGAAATTATAGCAGAATTCCACATTTTTCCTTCTCTTATCTTGTGGGTTTTTACATTTTTTTCAATTTTCAAATTAGGACTCGTAGGACCAAAACACATCAATTTAACTTTCTGCATCATTAGTTTTATGAAATTTAATTTTTTCAAGCTTTTATAGTGATCTGACACTTTTGACTATTTTCCGATTTTCTCGACAAATACGCAATTTTTCAAAGATGAGGTCTTTCTCTATTTATCGTGGCACAAAATATATATCAAAATGATTCAAAAACAAAAAATTGTGCATCAAAGGGTTAAGCACAAGAACAAAAGAGAGATAAAGGCAATAGCACACACGAACGAGTAATGCAACGCGCAACGCAGCGCACAACCAGTATACGCACATCAGCAGTAGTTGGAAATGTTAAAAACAACGAGAGATAGAGAGAGAGAGAGCCGTGCATGTGTCACGTTGCTGTTGGTTTGTTAGCGTCAATGCTTGTTTGCCACACATATGCGAACGCGCGCGCTTGCTATGCATACAGAGAGAGAGAGAGAGAGAGCGCACACAAGAGCACACCGAAAGAGCACACATCAATATATTGAATGGTGAAAAGCCAAGCGCGACAATATAATGAAGCGAAGTGGAGAGCAAAAAAAAGCGTGAAACCATATGCAAGCTTATGACTATTTTTCGCTAAGATGGAACACCCTCAGCTAAATTGAAATGATGAAATTGATTTGTTTACAACGCAAATTGCAATCGGTGCTAAGTAAAAAACGGATAAGGATTATATGTGACGTAGTAATAGCGTCCGTTTTTAACATGTGCCATCCTTATTTGGAAGGTTGTTTTTAATATTATCGGCTAGTGTTAATACTCTTGTTTCACTATACGATTGTTGTTGTTGCTGTTGATGCTGTTGCTGTTGTTGGTGCTTTTGCTCTATAGAATGAAGAGAGGAGAAAAAACGACACACACACACACTCGCACAACAATCGAGTCAGTTTTGTTGATTTTCATAGCCAAATAACCGAAAGCGGCCGCAAATAAAATGCTTCAGCTTCCTCAGCTGTTCCATTCTGGTTCTGGTTTTGCTCGATTCATGTTCATATTGCGCGAATGCCATGTGCTGTTATTTGATCTATATAATGGTGTGAATTCATTTTTGGTATACTCCAAATGCGTTGTAAGCATGATGTTATGTGTTTATGAAAAATGGTGCGAATATCAATATTTTGCATGTTTTACTCATCCTCGTTCCATATTCACTAGCAAAGTCGATTTGTGCGTTCAATTGTGCTGCTTATTCTTCTGCTCAACGACGGTATTGTCAATGAAGCATCTCGTGCATGGTCAGAAATTAACGCTAGCGTTTACGCGCTTTCGTGCTATGCGCTTTATTTAAATGTGGTCTTCGATTCAGTATTTGACGTGTTTGTTTTCTCCGGTGTCGTTTAGAATCTCCGCCAACGAGCATATAAATCATAATGGCATTTATTTATTAAATTAAACCGACTGAAGGTTTGCTCAATGGAGAATTTCTCTTTTTCTTTTCTTTCTTTTGAAATATGGCCACGTTCTCACACAATTCGAACTGTCCTGTCTCTGTTTTCCATTTGGCTCAAGAAAATTTATGAATAAATGCAAACCACAGAAAAACGAGACAGAGTGAAGAGATGAAAAAAAAACAAAAGCCAATTCGTTGTGGCGTTTTAAATGGCAACAATAAATCTTTTTTTTTGGGAGGTTGATCACGTGATTTTCGTGAATTTGTCGAATCAAATGATTCGTGCGATCGATTTTTTGGCGACCTCATTGCCACGGCGACAGCGGCACACATGCAAATTTAGATTAATATCGCTTGAACATTTCGAAACAGTCAATTTATCGGTTTCTTCGGTCGAAGATGACATGAACAAAACCGGGGAGAAGCAAATAAAACAATGCGGCAGACGTCAAAGGTTAAAACTAATGCTGACTCATAGAAAACACAAATCGATTGAAATGACACTTTATTAAATGGTAATAAAGCAATGATCATGTTTGATTGAGATCGAACAAAAAAAAAAACGATTTTCATGACAATCGGGAATCCTTTTGTATGGCAAGGAAACAATTGCTGTTCACCATTGAATGGGTGAACTATGAATATAGTGACGCGAACAAACCAACGCGAACTCGTTGAGAAAAACCAAACAAGAAAAGAAAAGAGGAAGAAAAAAAAAATACGAACAGTATCTTTTGTTTCCCGATGAAATCAAACCGAAATGTGTGCACAATGGAAATGAACACGGAATTTCTGTCGCTCGTATCATTTCGAAAATATCGTGCATTCATTTCGAAAGTCGCCCCGTATGATTTCATTATTAAATCCGACAAAAACTGATTATTCAAATTGAGTCAACAAATAAGCCGAACACATGCCGCTCAGATGTTTGCCGCACATTTGCGAGAGCAAGAAAGAGAGAGAAAGAGAGCGGGCGCAAGGTAAAAAACACTGATTTTCAATTGATCAGCGCAGCAAGACAGAATAAAGTAAGAGAAACAAGAAGAAAAAAAAAAACAACGCGATCTGCGCACAAGACTCGTTGGTATCGGAGTAGTTTTTCGCGCCTTCGTGACTAAACAAACAATCAAATGAACATAACACGGGCGCGCGAAATATATAAAAAAAACGTACACACAAAATCAACACGTTACACGATAGAAAATTGATCTTGGAAAGTGTTTATTGTGTTCTTTTGTACTTCTACAACACTTTGTTTTTCTCTTTTTCTCTCTCTCTCTCTCTCTCTCTCTCTCTCTCTCACTCTCGTTCGCTGTGTACACAATCATCAACTCATCTCTGAGGCCTCGAATCGAAATGCACACGCGTGAACTATACAACATATCGGCTATTCTTCCTTTTTTTACTCGCGTTGAATGTGTTTTTTTTTCGTTGCTTTTTTCGCTAGTTTATAAACACGCTCTTTTTCTCTCTGTACAGCACCGACACCGATCCGTTGCAACACTATTCCGTTCGGCGCGTGTTTTTTCTTCACTGCTAATTATATGCAAATGGACCACAATCACAAGCGCAATCAATACCAACTAAAAGCAGGACACTATTTGGTTTTGCGTTGATTTCAACGTTGCTTTAAATTCCACAACGAATACAAATTCCATGCAAATTTTCGCTTTATGGAAATAGACAGTGGCTAGAGGAAGCTCATTTGTGGCTATTCGAAATGTGGAACAGCAGTAATAACAACAGAAAAATCAATAAAAATGTTTTCAAATCAATTGGTTTTTTCTCTCCCTTCTTTGTGATCAAATATTTCATTCTTCATTTCACTGCAGCCAATATTTATATACTATAAGTGATTATTTCACTTAATCGGCGGCCAATTATCATTGCTTGTCGTCTCCTGACAGATATTAGCGTAGTTCAATGCACAATTGTGATCTCATATTATGCAATGATTTGTGTGTGTGTGTGTCGTTGTTGATTTTTTCTTCTCATGTCTTCTTCCATAACATGTTGTTATAGTTCAAAGCAGTAAATAATTCCGTAAAAGGCGCGCACAATTCTTGCATTCAACTCGATTACGTTTTGTGTGCATGTGCATAAGTAATTTGACTTGGGGCAAATTGAATTGAAAACTGAGAGCAAATAGAAAAAATTACAATGAAACCGAAGAGAGAGAAAGAGTGAGAGAGAGAGCATTTCTGCATTTTGTCGTCCAATATTTGCATCAATCAATCGATCTTTCTATGCTCGATCATTCGTCATTTTATAACAATAGTAATGAT